TGGTTCTGACAAAAAAAAAAAAAAAAAGAAAGAAAGAAAGAAAGAAAGAAAGAAAGAAAGAAAGAAAGAAAGAAAGAAACTTTCTTGGCAAGCACAAGGTTCTGAGTTCAATCCCCGGTTAAAAAAGAAGAAGAAGAAGAAGAAGAAGAAGAAGAAGAAGAAGAAGAAGAAGAAGAAGAAGAAGAAGAAGAAGAAGAAGAAGAAAAATAACTTTCACTGATTAGTATAATCTAAGCCAATCAGGCAGGGCCTTAGACTTCATTTCTGGGGGAGCCAAGATCTAGGGGTCCAGAGGCACACCCCCAGTGCATCCAAAGGCTTTACGAAAGGCATCTTCCTCAAGCGTATCACGCAAAGTAAGCACGCGGTCATTTCCATCGCCATCAGCCACCCAGGTCCTGCCTGTGTCCCCACCTCTATCAACCCGGGACAGTCCTCCTGCCTCAGCCTCCCAAGTGCTAGGGTGACAGGGGTGTGCCACCACGCCTGGATTAGACTAAGTGCAGCAGACCGCACTAGGACCAAGAGCCTCAAGAATCCTATCTGCTCTGAGGACTGCATAAATTCAGGCTTCTGTGGATCCATGCACGCAGCCAGAGACCGGACTGAGCAAGATAATCAGACCCCCACGCGCAAACACATTGTCTCGCTGATGTGAGAGACTGAGACAGTAAGTAAAATCTGAAAGGTGCAGTAGGTGCTGTGAAATGGGGAGGGAAACTGGGGTGCAGAAAAGGGCAGAAGAAGGAATATGTGTATAGCATAGCTTGGATGACGGTACTGCTAAGGTTTTTACAGAACCGAGGATTGAACTCAGGCCCTATGCACTTACCAAAGAAGCGCTTATTCCACTGAGCCGTCTCCCCGGCCCTGGTACTGCTGATTTCTGCTGTTCTATAATGATTAACTTTTTTTTTCTTTTTAATTTCTTATAACTTTCTTTTTGTTGTTTTTCTGGGTTTTTTTTTTTTTTTAAACAAATTTTGCAGGTTTTTATCTGGTAACCTAAACAACTAATTTGAAGACAGCATCATGCAATACAGCACCCATTGCTGAATTCCTATTACTTTGCTTCATGAAATTTTGCATCATTTCTAATGAATCTCTATAAATGTCTATATTTTCCTTGACAGACCTTTGTGGAGAGAGTCAAGACGCAGACTCAATCTTCCTGCACAGCGCTACCTCAGGTTCCTCCATGAGCTACCCACTCCCCTCCTTTCTCCAGGGAGAGGCTGTGGGCTGCCTCAGTCCGCCCGTTACACGAGAGACTCTAAATCTCTAAGGGCAGAAGAACTGTTAAGGGTTATGAAGTTTTAGTTCCAATAAATCAGCTGAGGCAAGCAAACTTTGAAGAAAGAGAATGAATCTTCGGTTTCAAGGTCCAAGAGAAACAGCTGTTCCCAAAGCCTTAACCTCCACGACGGGCCCAGGGACCTGCAGGAGGAACAGGCAAACTCCTAAGCCCACCCAGACGGTTGGACTCTGAAGGGAAGCCGGGATGTTGGTGTGCACAGAGGGCTGGGTGGAGGCCCGTGGCAAGGAGAGACCTGAAGGCCACGCAGGTTGCTTTGGCACATGAGCAGCGGCGGTGTGAGCCCCGCAGCCGTGCCGGGCAGGGAAGCTGTGGAATTAGCACCCCAACACGGAGCCCACCTTCAAGAAACTACTGGGGTCTGGACAAGCTCGACAAGGGCTTATGCCGTCTCTGAGCACCTCTCTTACCAGCAACTGTGTGTGGCCACGAGGAGGTGGCAGCACCTGGCAGGACAAGGCAAAGATTAACTCAGTTCTGACCAGAAGACAGGCGCCCCTCCCTTTCAGATCGCTTGGTCCCTCCGAGTTTCTGGAGGGTGGGGTAAGGCAGAAGTGGTGGCGTGGCTCCTGAGAACTTGGGCATTTCTGGTGACAGGAAACAGACCAGTACTTGTACCCCCAGGCCTGCTGCAGTGGAAGAAACCCTAGACGATGTGTCCAAAATCCTTGATTGTAACTGCACTCTGACCCTGGCTCGCAGGCACATTGTCTGTCCCCCCGGATTGTAGGGTTTGGCAGCATGAGTGGCTCCCAACCTGTTCCCTATGAGAAGCTTAAACATCCTTAACCTACAATGGCTGGTGGAGAAATCACACAGTACCAAGCCCATCTAGAAACTTCTTGCCCAAACTCTACCCCTTGGCCACAATTCTAATACCTCCAACTCGCAAACTCATAGATAGGGTGGCAAGGAGTGTCAGTGCTAGCCAGACTCCAGGCTTGCTGTGCAGTTAGCACTGTGCTAAGATGCATAAACATGCCAGTTAATGCTCATCAGCATTCTGAGACAGCTTCCCCAGTTTAGAAATTAAAAAGCTAAAGCTGACAGAATTTAAAAGCAGCCTCTTCAAGAACATGTGGAAAAAAAAAGTGACAGTTCTGAGATTTAAACTTTAGGTCATTCTCAGAACCCAAACTCCTAGTCGCTACCCTTTGTGCTATAATGTTTCTAGTTCTAGCATCCTACACTCCCATGACTTCCTTGCCTTGTTACTGAGAAAAGAAGAGGTGGATGGGTGTGAATTTGCACACTCAGTCTACGGAGCACTCGGTTATGTCAGAATGAGTTTGCAAGCCCCCGGGGTCAGCCTGTGCCATTCCTACCTTCCGGGTCCCTTCCACGCTGGAAGCGCACAATGTGGAATTACAGAGATGGATTTGCACCCATCGCTCTCCTGACAACTTGAAGTCTGGAAGTTGAAATGAAAACCAGATCTCAAAACCCAGCTGCATCTTTGAAGTGGGAAGTCGAGGTGCATGGCTTTCCGCTCCGTTTTTAGGGAGGGACTCGCAGTCAAATAGGAGACAAGGCCAAAGACGCTGTGTTGTCCCTTCCCCAGAAACAGGGGCGGTGCTAGCACGGATTGTGGCCTCTGCAGCCATGATTTTAGCCGTCGGCTCCACCAGCATACGAACCATGTGACTGTGGGCGATATCCCTGGGAACCCTGTTAATTGGCTCCTCTGGAGATGAGACTAAGAGCACCTACCTTCATTATTCACTTAGCTACTATGAGAAATTGCCTCTTACTAGGTGGCTTACGATGTCCAAAGTCCATTTTTTCATAGTCTTGAAGGCCAGACGTCTGTAATCAAGGTGTCACGGGAACATGGTCCCTCCCACAGTTCCGGAGGAGAAGGCTCCCTTCCTTTTCCGCTTGTGGGTCCCGGCGCTGCCTTGGGACGGCGTAACACGACCTCTGCCTCTGTTCTTATGTGGTGTTGTCTAGAACTCTGTGTGTCATTTTCTTTCTTATATGGATGCCATCATTAGATTTAGACGACCCCAATCCCAATGGTCCATCTTGGTACTTACTTTAGTTACATTTATAGAAACCGAATTTCCAAGTAAGGTCACATCCTGAAATTCCAAATGGACACCAAAGAATTTGAGGGGCGCCATTCAACACATCTACCCTAACTCACTGGATCGTTGTGGAAATAAAGGTCATAATGTAATAAAGCATCGAGTACAGTGTCTGATACACAATAACAAAAGCTAGCTGTTTACGCCGTGTGTACATGCATAAATGCACATACGACTTTGCCTATTGACTAGATCTGTCAAAGATTTATTTCAGCATTTCACCAAATGAAATTCTAATCTACAATTTCTTTAACTCTGTGTAAGTAAGTATTCTCATTTGCTCATTTCTGGTTTTGTAATATTTCTTCCTTTTTCTCCTCTTTGTAGTTGTTAATTTTATTTGTACTGTTTTGTCTGAGAATTCTTGGATATTCAGATGTGGACAGACAGACAGATACAGGCTGTCTGTGAATACAATGATGATTTTCCACAGTGAGTATTTTGGTTTGGTTTTTTGTAATACTAAGGATTGAAACCAGGGTCTTCACACTGTGCTACTTTCCCAGCCCTTTTTTATTTTTAATAGTAAGACGAAGTTGCACTAAATTGCGAAGTTTGCTGGGTGGGTCTCAAACTTGCAGTCCTCCTGCCTCCGTCTCCAGAGTTCTGGAATTGTAAGTGCGTGCCATCGTTCCTTTCATTCATCTTGTAGAAGTGTGTGTGTGTGTGTGTGTGTGTGTGTGTGTGTGTGTGTGTGGTTGAGAATGATTTTCCTTCTCCCGATTTGTGGGGGCACAGGGACCCTCCTTGATAGACGACCTACACAGATCTTACAGGGAAGGTCGATGCCCCTGCATCGGCCCTAATCTCTTCTCACTCTTTCTCACATCTCCCGCCTCCTTGCACGGCTGTGCTCCATCCCTTGCTCACGATATTCTTCCTTGGGAAATTCTTGCAGCTGCCCCTCCCCCTCCCCCAGCCGGAGTTGCTCCCTGTCCCCAGCAGGTGACTGATGCGTGTCCAAATGGATTCTCAGCTCCGAGCTGAGCTGCTCCAGGGTGGCCTGGCTGAGTGAGACCAGCTCCCAGAACCTGCCCTGGCAGCTGGCTCTCCGGCTTTCGGGGGCACTGCACGGACAAGGCCTGCCCAGACTGCTAGGTCCTCTCCAGCGGTGCCCTCTCCCCCCGAGCAAAAGGCAGGCCAGCGGGCAGCTGGGAGGAGGAACGCGAGACTGTTTATTGTCGGCGGCTTGGGAAGCAGTGAGGTAGTCAGCCTACAACAGGAATCAGGAAACAGGCGGACAAGAAAGGGGTGCTGAGAGCTGGGATATGACTCGCGGCGCCGGCCCAGCCGGAATGCCTCGGTGAGGAAGCGGGCGGGGGCGGCATGCGGCAGGAGGGTCCGCTCGGTGGGCGGCGAGCTTCTCGCTCAAGAGGACCCGCGCTGCCCCGCCGTTTCCAGCTCTCCGCGGCTGGCTCTGGCTACGCGCCCGGGCTGCGGCTTCCGGCCAGCGACCAGCGGAGGAGCGTCCCAAGGCCCGGAGCCTCCTAGCGCCCAACAGCAGCCGGTCTCCCCGAGAGCCGGACCCAGATCCAGAGAAGCGGGTCGGCGCTCCTCTGGGCCTCCGCGGGCCAGCGACCCGAAACGGGCCAGTCCTCGGCCGCGCGGGCCCGGGAACTCCGCGGGCGCCTCAGCGGCCCTTTACGATGAGGCGGGTTTTCCCATCTCCAATGAAGAGCCTGCAAGAAAAGAGCGCGGCCCTGTGAGGTCTCCGAGGCGCTGCAGAAAAGCAGCCCTCACTGCCTGCCTTCAGGCCCAAGGTCCTCCCGAGGCGACTCCCTGAGGAGATGCTCGCTGGGCCACCCTGAGACCAGCAGAAGAAGGCTGCACACTGCTTCTGAGAGCCACTGAGCGCAAGGGCCTGGATTCGATCACTGAGGGCCAGAGCAGGGGGCCGCAGCCGCGGGACTCTGACTAGAACTGCTGTTTGTTTCCCTTTGGAGTCACTGTGCTGCTAGGACCGAAGCATGAGTGGACAGAGGGGACCGTGCCCCTGCCACACAGCGTGAAACCCACAGACAGCCTGTGAGGAAGCCCAGGCCCAAGGGCTTTGTTGGAGACCCTCCAAAGCCAGCGCCACCTGTGAGCTCGTCAGTCATGGGAGTGGTGGCTGCTGCCCTTGTGAGGTGGATTTCTGTCACTTTTTTTTTTAATGTATTTGGTACAGGATCTCACTATGAAGCTTGGACTCATAGTGATCCTTCTGTTTCAGCCTCCCCAGCACTGGGATTACAGGAGTGCACCACCACGCCTGGTCTCGGTGGCCGGCTCAGCATGCGGTGGGGGGTGGTGTCCCTGCGTTGCCTAAGCAGGTGCTTAGTCCACTGACCTGTCTCCCCGGCCCTGATTTCTGTCACTTCTAACCAAAGATCCTGATTCTTTGCTTCTGAAGAACCTCTCCCTGTCCTTCTCCAGACCCACGGGACAGCCCAGCCCTCCCACACGGCATCGCCTGACAGCTGTCACCAGGGGCCCCTAAGACACCTACCTAATGAGCAGCCCTACAAGCAGGCCAGCCAGGAGCGGCCCCAGCCAGTAGATCCAGTGGAAGCCCCAGTGGCCGGCCACAACAGCAGGTCCAAAGGCACGAGCGGGGTTCATGCAGGCTCCAGAGACAGCACCCCTGTGAAGATCCAGCCACGCAGCCACTAGGCCCCAGCCAGCCCGGACACACCCCAGCCCAGGTCCCCAGCTGGGGACATGGTCAAGCCCCCCCCAAAAGCCATCCCTAAGCTTTCAGGTCAGGGACCCCAGCAAAGGAAAAGCTCTTAGCAGTAGGAAGTCAAAGGCACACCTCTTCCGTGGACACGGGCTGCCCGCCTCTCGCCCCACACCCTGACCAGCAAGAATGCTTGCTCGGTCACGACAGGAGGAGAAGAGGCATCAAGTTTCCTCCAAGGTCTATAAAACAAAGCCGAACAGTTGTCAACCACTCCGGAGCCAAGCTGACCTATATTCAGAGCCCAGCCCAGCGAGTTGTAGCTCTGTGATCTCTCTGAACGTTCCCTCTGTGTCTCCCCGGAAGTGGACACACCCCTCCCTTAGGTGCTGTCAGGAGCGGGCGGGCGTGTCTACAGAGCCCGGGCCTCCTCCGTGCCTAGCGCGCAGCTAGAGTTAACTACAGTCGTCTGGCGCAGACGAGCCCTTGTGCGACACACGCTGGAGGCCCCGGATCTCCTCAGGGTACTTCTGCAGTCTGTGTCTGTGTCCTTCCCTGGGCGCCCAGGCTAGGGTCCTACAGACCCTACCGCGCTGTGTCCAATAGCCAAAGGGGTGGCTCAGTGGTCTTGTAAGAGAAGCAAGTGCCACTAGGGGGCAGCAAAGTATCGCCGCAGCTTTGCCCCGTGATCGCCGCCGCCCACCCCGAGGACATACATCTCTCAGAGGTAGCAGGCTGTGGCCTTGGAGAATGGCCGACCTGGTTCTGCATCCCAAAGAATGGAAGGCGGTGGACACGAGGAAGAGGACCCCACATCCCTTTCCGCAGAAATCGATGCCTCTATTTTTGCCACTGCCCAATAGCCTTAAACATCACTTCTGTCCCCTCACAGCCTGTTTCCTCATCTCTAAAATGGGAGAAATCATCCCTTACCAAGAACCCAGGGACCAGGGAGATGGCTCAGTGGAATAAAGCGCTTTCCTGGCAAGCGCAAGAACCTGAGTTCAATCCCCCGTTCCGCAAAAAAAAAAAGAACCCGCCCCCTGAATGTCTTCTCAGGACTAGCAAGGGTTCAAAATAAATAGGATGATTCAAATGACCTTTGTAAAGGTCAGGTTACAGTCTACAGAAGTGTTTCACTCACCATACAAATATTTTTAACTTTGCATAAAAATCCTTTCATTGACTGCATTTCTGACTTGAATGTAATTAGAAGGCTCGCCCCAGGCCCACATTCTCACACAGAGACCCCTAACTCCCAGCTCCTCGCCCTGCCCATCAGCTGCCCAGAGTCACTCTCTACCTTTTTGCATTCACTTCCTGAACCTCACTGGCAACCAAGTTTGGGGCCCTTAGATCTGACCTCAGGGACTAAGACAGCCAAGGTCTGGGAGGCAGACCTGCTGCGAAGACACTCACCCTGCCAGGATGTCCACGGTGACAGAGAAGCCGATAGCGAAGGGGGCGAGAGGGCCCCGTGTCTTCTCATTGATGGCACCCATGCACACCGCCAGGACCAGCAGCGTGGTGAGGATGACCTCTGCTCCCAGAGCCCTGGCCACCTGCCCATGCTCCTGGACTGTCACAAAGGCCGCGCCGGAGGCGTTCCAGAATCTCTCCTCAAGACTGACAGCCTGCAAAGACAGCTACTCAGCATGACGGCCAGACACAGAAAGGCGGGAGCTGAGCAGAGGGGACCTGCAAACGTGACCCATGTGTAGGTGGACAGATCGGGGTCGACCCCTGCTTTCACTGTATGCATCTACTAGACCTCTCCGAGCCTCATTGTGCTCATCTGAAAAACAGGTCACCCTCTCGTGGCTCCAGGGGAAGCGTATATAACTAAGAGGACTTCAAGAAAGAGAAAATGAAGATCTTCCCCCCCTTAGAACTTTACACTGTGACCAGGTGACACGTCACTATTTCAGTGAGACCTCAGACAGCGCTTGTGGAAGGACAGCTCTGAAGCTTAAACTGAATTCTCTGCGAGGGAAGCCAGACTTCTGGGAGCACAGGACAGCACAGCAAGCCAGCGAGCACGTAAGCCTCGGGCCCGCCACTCAGCAGCTTGGCTGAACTCGGGCCAGAGCCTATGTCTCTGTGCCCATTTCCTCACCTGTAAAATGCACATACGTGTGACACTGTGAGAGGTGAGGTGGAAGGATCAGAAGATTGAGCTCAGCAAGGGCAACTTAGCAACTTAGCAAGACCCCATCTCAAAAAATAAAAAGTCAGGGGCCAGGGCGATGGCTCAGTAGAATAAGCGCTTCCCTGGCAAGCGTAAGGGCCTGAGTTCAATCCCCGGTTCCGCCAAAAAATATATAAATAAATAAATAAATAAATAATCAGTGCAAGGGCCTGAGTTCAATTCCTGGTCACACACACACGCACACGCCATACCCCACACAGTGGTGCTGGTGACAGCTATGATCCATAAAGAAGCCCTCAGCATGGCACATAAGAAGTGCTCTCCGAGGGCTGACTTGGGGTGGTGCTGGCATGGGTGGAGTGTGTGCTCATCAGCACATCTGACAGGTTTCCCATGGGGCTGTGGGCTTGGGTGGGGTAGAAGGACCCAGGGCAAGGCACACAGCAGGGCAGGCTTTGAGCCTGAGGTCTGCCAGGTCAGCGCTCAGAGACTTGTGCCCAGTGCTACCAAGCTACAGGCCTCCCCAAGAGCGAAGAGCGAAGAGCGGCTTTCTGGGTTGGAGGGGAGGATTCCAAACACACATTGAAGCGCAGCTCCCAAGGACGGTAACTCGGTTTCAAGGCAGGCGGAGGAGCTGACTCAGGAATTTTTCAAGGAGAATCACTAGACTTATACGGCACCCTCAGTCCGTGCTTCAGGAGATAATTTGCAGAACAGATGAACAGATGAGTGAGTGAATTAGAGAAGGAAATGACAGGAGAATTAGCCACATCTACTCCAAACCAGACACGGGCTCAGGACGACACATCCTAGCCTGGACGAGCTTCCTGGCCTGGCCAGGAGAGGGCTAGGTCCAGACATGGATGAAACAGGATAGGGAACCAAGGAGCCCTGACCTCGGTAGAAAATTCCCCTGGCAAATACAAAGCCAGAGCCCAATATTTGCCCACACGCCTCCACTCCCCACACCTCCAGCTGCTCCGCCCCTCAGAATCACCCACCTTGGCCAAGGCAGCCCCAATCAGCCCACCACACAGCTGGGAGATCCAGTAAGGGATGAGTAGCACCACGTTGAGGCCTCCGATCAGCATAGTTCCCAGTGACACTGCGGGGTTAAAGTGTCCACCGCTGCAGCAGAACAGAAAGAGGGCATGAGGCCAGGGGCGGGGCTTGAGCAAGACTGGGAGAGAAAGCCTCCAGCGGGGCCAGTGTCAGCCCAGGTCCCCAGCCTGAGGTGTCAGGCAGAGGGTGAAGGGCAAGGGCAGGGAGGAGCAGCCTCTAAGCCCTGACCCCTGGGTGACTCTAGAGCAAAAGTGTGCCGGAAGACCATCCCTGGGCTCCTCCCAGAATGCTTCACTCCCCCTGGCTCTTCAGAGATGTGGCTGAAGGTCACTCAGGCCCAGTGAGGCTCCAGAGCAGCAGAGCCCTCAAGGCTTGGGCAGGCGAATAGCCGATCCTGAACAAAGCCCTCAAATAGTTGCACTACTTGGGAACATAAAATTGGGATCAGGCATTCCAGATGGAAATGACACTGAAAATCAGAGGAGGGACTGGAGGCTCATGGTGCCCAAGATTCAGCCTGCTCAGGCCCAGCTCTCCTCCCACTGCTTCCTTAGGATGGACGAAGGGTCTCTTCCCAGAGGCTGCCCATCAAGCCCCCCTGGCTCCCAAGAATGGATTTCTAAGGGAGGAATACGGCCCCAGTCTCTGTGCCATGGTCTCTGTTAAGGACAGCTCGGGGGTGCGTTGCCCTGCCCAACACTGTCCACATAGCTAGGACTCAGGGAACAGTCACATTCGCACCGCTGCACACGAAGGCTCTGGCCCTGATGGCCGGGCCAGAAGGCATCCGAGGCTGCTCTCAATCCCAGATCTGCCTGAGCACAAGTCCTGCGCTCGGCATCGTTCTCACAGCCCGCCTCGGGCACTCTAAGCTTCCTTCTGATTTTCTCCAAGACAGTATTTCCACTTCCTTACTCAGAGCTACTTGTTGAATGAGATTCAGTTCAGACCAACCAATTCCCGGGTCCCCCTGCAGGGGGCTTCATGCCGGATAAGAGACAGATCAAAATATGTGGTGAATGTTGAAATATTGGCAGATTCCAGGAAAAGCCGCGTTGCCCTTACACCCCTTCTCCTCAACACACCACCCCATTGTTCTCCCCACTCTGCAGCGCTGGGAATCCTCTCCAGGGGGTCTTCAGTTGCCCCACTGGGGCTGCCCCCATCCTGATTATCCCAAATGTTTACCTTTCATGGTCATTTTAATTTGGGGGAAAAGCCAGAAGCCCCCTGGTGCCAGATCCAGGGACTAGGGGATGGGAACACCCCACCCGACATGCACAAGCCTGCCTCTCCCATGGATGGCGCTCGGCAGGAGCCTCCACTGTATTTTTCTGTCACACCTGGTGCAGGCTCCTGGCAGAGACTCCAAGAGCTGCTTCCCACGGCGGCGGCAAGGGTGATGGGGTGCGTGTGTTCCCAGCAAGGAGGAGTGGGGGAGGGGTGAGTAGCACCGTGCCCTTTACTGTAAAATGTTTTTAATCACACCTGTATCTGCTTAATAACTAGGCTGTCCCACCCACCAGCCCCATACACACACAGCTTCCAGGCCTCTTCCTCTGAGCCCCCATCCAGAAGAGAGTGAAGCCAAACGAGCACCTCCCCTCCCGCCCTCCGACTCTGGGTGGCTCTGGGCCGCCTGGGCCCCTGCAGACAGCCACATTCCTCGGCAGAAGCACCTCTCTGCCTTTCCTACACAGCCCCCAGCGATATCAAGGGCAGATCAGTCAAGGCCAGGCCCTGCGTCATTTCGCTCTGTGGCCTCCTGCGAGGCACTCTGGTTGCAGGTCTGGAGCCAGGTGGCTTGTTCACAACTCCTCACTCTGCCGCTTCCTGCCCTGGGATGAGCAACCCTATCTTTGGACCCCACAAGACCGCATGAGGGGTGGCGATCGGGGCCAGTAAGTGCTTCGAATGTCGCCTGGTACAGGGTCAGCGGTCAGTGTGTGCTCTCTTGAGACAACTGGAGAAGAACACTGGGACTGCACCTGCTAGGTGGGGACTTTGGGTCTGGAGGTGACCTGCTTACAAGCTGCAGAGCGAGGCGGCGCCTGCAGTCCCCCCAGTGCTCCCACAGTACCGAGTGGACCTAGGGTGCCCCCCGCAGCTGTGCACCAACCTGCATCGGGCCCCATGCAGGTGGCTGGTCTCACCTGATGTTCCCCAGTGTGGCGATGACAATCCCCAGGGCCAGGCCGTGGGCCAAGGCCGGCTGCAACACCCCGGTGCCCGGTGCATTCTCAATGACCGACAGGCACCCAATGAAGATGAACAGGGCGGAGCCGAGCAGCTCCACCAGGCAGGGCTGCACGAAGCGCTCGTACCAGGACGCACGACTCCTGCCCCCCATGCTCTGCTCCTTGGTCCTGCTGCTGTCACACATGTGTGCCTGCCGTGGGGAGGAGAGGTAGAGAGGTAGGAGGAGAGCCTGGACAGAAGCCCCGGCCCAGGCCTGCCCGGAGTGCAAGCCACCACGAGGCTCACCTCTCCTGACATCAGTGTGAAAAGGCTTGGTGCTCGGGCTCCCGCCAGGGCTGCTGGGACCCTGCCGCTCTGCTGCAGGCTGCTGGGAATCTGCTGCTGTGCTGCACACTCCGGCCTGGGGGACGGATGCAGACCCAGGAGCCCACTACAGGCTCTGCCCTTTTAAAGTGAGCAGCAGCTTAGCGAAGGTGTTGAGAAAACAATAAAGCCAGTGGGAGGTGGCCTGGCACCCAGGAGAGGAGGCCAATCTCTGCTGGGCGGGTGGGCGGAGTGGGGGTCAAGGATTGCTGGGCTTCCTGCCAGGGAAGCGAAAGGCCCTAGCTTTCTTCATCACGGAGCTGCGGAGATGGACACGGCGCCCTGTGGGGCAAAGGTGACAAGTGTCTATAATTAGGCACCGGGAGGGCTCTCAGGGAAGCTGCTCCTGCTTAACAACAGCAAGCTTAGCGAGGCAGAGTGGCACAGGCCTGTAATCCCAGCGCTCCAGAAGACTGAGACAAGAGGGTCCCAAGTTCAAGCCCCGCCTGGTGAACTTAGTGATGTAGTGAGACCCTGTCTCAAAAAACAAGCAAACAAATAAAAAATGGGGCTGTAGCTCAGTGCGCAGGCCATGGGTACATTGGCCAGTACCGCAAGCAAACATGCACACATACATACATACATATGCACATACACATGTACATACACATATACATATGTACATACACAGAGACATACATAGACACACACATGCACACACATAGTGGCTCCTCCTCAGTCATTCCGGTCCCCCAGATCTCTCGCCTCACTTCCTGTGCTCACCCGATCTGATCGTCTGAGCTAGGACCAAATGTGCAAAGCGGCTGGGGTCCATCACGGCTTTGGAAACAGGCTGCCTGAACTTTTTTTCGTCCCAGCACTGGGGATGAAACCCAGGGTTCCAAGCATACAAGGCATCCGCTTAGCCACTAACCACACCCCTGCTCAGGCTGCCTGGCTGGAAACCCCGCTCTGTGCCTCAGGGATGTCACCTAACCACTCCGAACCTTCCTTTTCTCTTCTCCATCCCATTCCACAGAGTGCCTATAAGAGGTTTTTCTGGTGGGGTACCAGGAGTCTCAGGACCTTGCGCTTGCCAGGCAGGTGCTATGCCCCTGAGCTATATCCCTGGCCCCATGGGTGCAAGTTTAAAATGAGTTAGTGTACATAAAGTACTCCAGACGATGCCAGACATGTGACAGACACAATGCTCTTGCCTGCTTCTCTAGAATACATCAATCAAAACAGTGTATAAATACTGGGGTCCGCTAATGTAGAGTATATAGTTAGATGTCACTAATGTTTGCCAAGCACGTTCAGAGTGCCTCGCACTAGGGGACAGCCTGTGTGCTCTATCTCATTTTAACCTCGCAACAAACTTGAAAAGGAACTATTTTTATAGCCCATTTACAGACAGGAAAGCAGAGTTTCAGGAAGACTGGCTCTCCCAGCAGTATGCTATGTATGTGGTTGTAAAACTCGTGGACTGTCACAAAAGGGCTTGATTCCACCTGCATGAATGCCCACAAGAGTGCTAGAGTTATAGGTACAAAGTGTTGAGTGCTGGCTCACAGGCCTGGAGGTTAGGGAGGATGGGGTGAGCGAGTTCTGAGGTTTAGTTTGGGAATTTCGAAAGGTTCTGGAGTTGGATGATAGAGATGGATGCAAATAGCATGAGTCTACTCTACATCACTGAATAGTAAGGGGGAAATGTTAAAAGTACATTTTATGTGATGTATATTCATCATCACTGGATGAAAAAATGCTGTGGGCCAGCCTGCTGCACCTCTTTCCAAGAGGGGTGGGTGGGTGGGGTGGGTGGGTGGATGGATGGACAGAGGGACATTTCTGCAGATAGATGAGTGGATGGATGGATGGATGGATGGATGGATGGATGGATGGATGGGTAGACGGACAGACAGAGAGATGGATAGAGGAATGGGTGGGTGGGTAAGTGGGTGGATGGATGGATGGGTAGGTGAGTGAGTGGGTAGGTGGATGGATGGATGGATGGATGGATGGATGGATGGATGGATGGACAGACAGAGATGGATAGAGGAATGGGTGGGTGAGTGAGTGGGTAGATGGATGGATGGGTGGGTGAGTGGGTAGGTGGATGGATGGATGGATGGATGGATGGATGGATGGATGGATAGACAGACAGAGAGATGGATAGAGGAATGGGTGGGTGGGTGAGTGGGTGGATGGAGGGGTGGGTGGATGGATGGACAGATGGACATTTGGGTGGGTGGATGGTTGGATGGGTAGAGGGATGGATGGATGGATGGATGGATGGATGGATGGGTGGTTGGGTGGATAGAAGGCAGGAGAGAAGAAAGATAGCAAGATAGGTCTTCGTATTCATCCAACAAATACTTAAATAGCTAATTCTGTGAGGCTGTCATTATTCTGGTTGGTGGTGATGAAATGATAGTCAAGACAGTAGACAATCCTGCTCCAGGTCTCACAGCTACTGTCAAAGCATGTGCAGGTATGGAGACAGAGAGAGAAATGACGTCCAAGACGGTGGCGCTCAGTGACCATTTCTGCCACTTGCTGCTGCCTGCCCTCCCAGCCCCGCCCTCCCATTTCTGTTCCCAGCAGCCCTTGGAGATGCGTCCTGTAACTCATTGTCCTGCTCCCCCATGAAACAGGAGGCATAAAGAGTGCAGCGACCCCCGCTTGGCCGTGCAGATTACACATATCTGCCTCAGGAAAGAAGTGGCTACAGCAGGACAAGGGCTCGACAGTTTGTTCATGGCCTTGGAAGCCGGAGGCTGGCAGAGCAGAGTCTCTGTTGACATCTGCAGGCCCAGAGGGCTCAGGACCTGCTTGCTGCCAGTTATCTTTAGCTCCATTCTCTCCCTTCTCCCCCGCAGCTCACGTACAAGATGTATCTTAGGCCTTCCTGCCCTGCCCTGTAAACAAGATAAGGCTGCTAGCCAACCCTCAATTTTGCTGTCTCCTCTGCTCTTTGCCCAAATTGTCCAGTGTGGTTTCCAGAACAATTGTCTCTTGTTTTCACCCAGGTTTTCATCACATGATTCTAAAAAAAAAAAAACCGTTACGATCCATGATGCAGCAGCCAGGACCCCTGAGCTGAACCCCTCAGTTCACTCCATCAGTGTTTACAATAACTCGCTTCTTTCCCCATTTCACAAGCAGACCTCGCCGGCACAGCTATAACAACTTCTTGTCTAACTCTCAGCCAATTTTCATGCTTCCCCTTCATGCTGGAGCCAACAGGGCACAACTCAGCCACAGAGGACAGATCTGGGGATCAGAACTCTCTGTCTTTTCCCCATTATCTGCTTATCGATCTCAGTCTCTTCCAGAAGAGCAAGCTGCGGTGACCTCCACCCCCACAGACATGTTCTGTGGATGAACCGAGACAATGCAGGCCCTCGTGACCTAGCCATGCACGTGGCACGGGATTGAACAGGGCGACTGCTGGAACCAGTACCCCTCCCCACACTGCACTGCCTTAACAGCGCAGTCCGCACCAGACTTCCTACTGAGTGGCCTCCTAGGGAACCCGGTTAGTGCCATCGTGGAGATCCAGCTTCCAAATCCTAGAATCTTCTCCAGCAAATGAGGGAAAGAAAGAATGCACAGGTGCACTGGATCCTGCCAGAGAGTGCCAGGAGCCTGTCCTGGAAATGACCGTTCCTTCCGCCAGCTGCACACAACCAGCCGGAACTTGACGGCCTGGCTTCCACCCAACTGCAAAAGCATAGCAGAAATGGAGTCCAGCTTGTGCAAAGAAGGAGACAGGAAGGTGCTGCGTGAGTCCCAGGCAACTTTGGCCACACTATAGTGGCCGCACAGGTTTTCCATCCAAATCCCTCCCTGATTTACATGGTTTCCCTAATGCCCAGGCAAAATCCGACTTCCTTAGCCACCCACCCGGGCCTTTAGTCCCAGCTTCGGATTCATCCCTTGTCACATGAACCCTATACACGTTACCAGGCAAGCCACACGCTCCCCCACCCCAACTTCCGCGTCTCTGCCACACTGCGCTCTCAACTTAGAGTCTTCTTTTGCCCACTTGGCCAACTTTTCATTCAAATCTCAAATCAGATACCATGTCCGCCCTGATTCCTGGGCCAAGTGGGAATGTCGCTTCCTCCCTAGAGCCATGGATGGATTCCCTACCTCCATAACCACTGGCTCACCAGAGAAAATCAGGCTGTCATACAAGGAAAACAATATACTTCTGCTACATGAGAATTTCTCCATTGCCTGATGTTTTCATATGCCACATATGGGCCTTCAAAAACCATGAGAAAGCCCAGGAGATGAGTTAGATGGTATTTCCTAAGGAACTCTTTGGGTGGGAAACGTCTCAGCCTTTCACGTCTGCCTGGCATGATCCAGGCTTCTAATCTGTATCCCCATTTGGACAAGAGCAGCTCAAGAAGTCTCTACCACCACAAGAGCCACATGGCCACACTGTGTCCTGGGACATCACCCTTCCCCCTTTTCTTGCAGTGACCACCACATGGCCACACACGAATGAAGTGCTGGTGCTCTGGCCTCATCAGAAGACCATGAGGGGGCTGGGGAGACAGCTCAGTGGTCTAAGCGCCTGCCTGGATAGCTCAGGGACCCAGGTTTGGTCTCTGGTACTGCGTGTCGTGCCACCCCAGAACCCTGAGCACTTCAAGCCAGCCACCAAAACCGGGCATGGCGGTTGATGCCGCAATCCCAGCACCGGAGAGGCTGAGACAGGAAGCTCATTATAAATCTGAGCTGTGTAGTGAGACCATGTACCAATTAATTAATTAACTAATTAATTAATCTTTTAAAAACCATGGGCACAACCTGCCAGAGAATGCTTCCTTGGTGACATCACCAAGCCACCAGGCCAACCCCAGTGTCCCCACTCCTGACTGCTTGCTAAGCTGACCTGCAGCTTCCAGGTTGGGTGCCTAAGCATGCCAGAATTCACGAAGGGGATTTGTACTTAAACCTTTCAAAGGCACTGCAGTGACGCTGAGTAGCTGTCAGCTACCATTTCAGCTACTAGCTCAGGAAAAGTGTACATCTTTGATTTCAGATGGCCCAGCATTCTCTTCCATGAGAGCATCTCTTTGTGAATCTGGTTTTATAGCCATTGACATGATAGAATGCAAGCACCCCAGGAAAAGCAGCGCGGAAGAAGTGAGCAC